CCTGTTGATCGATCTGTAGTAGTGTGCGTACATTAAGGCATGCCAATCTGAAGGAGGATCGAGGGCTCCAAATGGAAGCCGATGAACTGGAATGGACCGCTTGGTTGGACATGAGCTTGTCGACAGGAGAGGAGTGACGCTCCGCGTTCACATGTCAGTTGAAACTAGAAGATAAATGCCTAGCAAAGCATGTTGGGGGGGGGCCAGGAATCGGGGGGTTGAAAACGGGGGATATAGGTGAAGTTGGAAGGGGACGGTAAGAGTGAAAAAGCGTAAGATGGGGAATAAGAAGACGGGAAGGCTTGAGCAGTAGCATTCAAACCCCTATCCACCCTGCTCGATGCAGCAGTTAGGGCACCGTTGATTATCCTCTGCGGTGGCCAGAGCATCAGCATTTTGCTTTTTTTGAAGTGTGATTCATTGTATTGCGTGGGCAGGATACTGTCAGGTTGCCCAGGCCTAGACAGGAGAACGATTAGGGTTCTCAACCAAAGCCTTTGGTTCAAAAACCTGACCGCAAGGCAGCGCGTTTGGCGTTGGGCTACAAGGAGTCCGTTTTAAGGAATAAGGTGCCACCCCCATTCCAACCGCCAACCTGGAGGACCAGGAGGCTGAGTTTGTCTGACCTCTAACCATTGACCAATCTGGTATGAGTGACTCTGAAGGTGCAAAAGCACCAACCAGCATAGCTCAATGGATCGCTGAGGCACACAAACCATCGCACCACGGTAAGGTCCAGCCTCATCGCGATGGTTTTACTTTACTTTACATACGAGTGACCGATTCTCCTGCAGATATTGTTCCTTGCCAAAGTGGGTGGATTAGCAACTCTTCCTCTTGGACAACTTTATTGCTCTTCACATTGGCTTGAACAACGGGGTTCAGCCCTTATAATTACTACAAAAAACATCTTTCAATACCATTTTCTTGGATTTACTCTGAAGGCATTACATGCTCTTCACTTGGCCATGGATGGCTGTTTCACCCATTGATATTGTAATCTACCTCTGGATGAATTTCGATCCGGTATTTGAACACAATGTTGCTCTGGTTGGAAGCATTAACACCTGGCTTCTGTCCTCTCCTACAAGAATCTTTCACATACTATCCTCCCGGATCTCTTCCGATGACGCTACTTGATTTCACAAACAAAAGCTACTTTACATTCTAGCAACCTCAGTCTGTAACAAGTACAAAACGTACGGGTCCTCCACCCAACAATGTCTCGTCCTCCTTCAGTTTTCTACATGCAACTTCTGCTATCCCTCCTTGGGATGGCGAACCCAACCGATTCCAAGCTGAGGACAGTAAATTTGCACTTCGACCGACAATACCAATCCTGCGGCCTTGATGGGGCCCCCAACACTCTAATTTTCATTCGGAAAGTACCAAGTCTTTCCCTTGGCTCCTCTTCTCATGAAACCACGAAGTACCATATGGAGAAATCTCACCGTATCTCACCTGCCGCCACCATAGATAGTAACTTTGATTTATCCGCGCACCAGCGCCATCACCACCTACCTTGATCCCACTACTATCCAGCAAATGGGTTACGTACATAAACCACAAAGATTTTCGGTCGTACCTTTTTCAATCAGTTATTTGTAATATTCCAATGTAGCTATGCCTATTGCGCCTATTTGATCGTGCCTTAACTGGTGTGCATCGTTCTCTCGAGTATTTGCATGCTATTAGCAACATCAAAATTTATGATTTAAACCTAATTCCGTATCAACAACTTGCAAGTCGTTCTAAACATCCAGCAAATATGGCTTCAAAATCACTCATTTATCAACTAGTGGCACCTTATCTATGACACGTATATCACGGGAGCTGACTAACCGAAATTTGCGGCACATGGAGGTGTGAGGCAAACGGCGGAACCACAGTAGGATACAGGGATGGATGGGTTTCATGCGTTGGATCACTGACGATACGATGTCGCGTGTAACAACCATGAGCTGACTCACACTATGTGTTCGGGCAGTACCAGGTTATCAGCATTGCAACATGTGGTGTCAACTGTAAATAGTGTCACAACGTCTCGTATTCTAGGCACTTTATCTAGCGAATTCGGGTGGGTCGGATAAATTGACGTCGCAGCCGGCAGGCCGTAGTTTGGTGATTCTATGCTAGGCCTATGGTGTGATCCATGGTTGGCCCGCTTCCCTCCAACTCGCTTGTTCCAACCGTACTACTTGATCTTGTTACAGTAGTACTTCTTCCACATGGCCTGAGTTTTCAGGCACCTGCTCCGCCCCCGCTCACAGTACTCACGCATCTACCAATGTGAACTGAACCGCAAATGAATCACGCACTGTAGTCCGCGTCACCGTATCAATACTGTCCACGGGTGGTAACATTGTGTACTTTGTGTTTCGTATCGGCGACGAAGTCACACCCTTGTCACATTAAAGTGCCACACTGCGGCCACCGAAGGCGTGGCATTAATGTACGCTTGTGTGCATACGTGCGTTTTGCATCATTTTCTCGATTGATTTCTCTCTCTTGCAATGCACCGATTGCCTTGCTCTGCGATTGGATCTGAGTGACCACATTTTCAAGCGAACTAGTGCTCCATGCAGCTGTTCGATTCCCGAGCGCTTCATTAAACTCCACAGTGAAGCGTTCCTCACACAGCTCTTTACTCATTTTGGAATCAGCCATCTCTCCAGCTTCAACTTTCTGAGCCTGACCATTCCACAGCTGAGCTTACAACGTCATCACGTGTCAAATCCTTCTAATTTCCAATGGCATTGTGAGTGGCGAACGTCTACCAACCGACTGTTCAGTAAGATATCTGCCAGAAACTATCCGGAGTGTTGCTAGAGAACTCAGATCGAACTTTTTTGTTTGCCGTACTTTAGATCCGACCCGATTACTACGGGAACGTCAAGCGATTCCGCAGCAATGCGCATCGGTGCCACGGGCTCCAATACTCGCATACGCAATCAAAGGGTTACGCCGCGTGGAATTCGCAGTGTGACCACGCGATCTCCAAGTCAAGACGCAGCAGGGTTTCGTGGGCAAACTTGTCCCGCCGAAACACACGCCTAACGTAGCCAGTCTATTGTGCTATAACTAAGTGGGTATCTCAACCTGTATCGTCTTTCTGAGAAAGGTCTGTTTTTCATCTCTCTGGTCCAGGAGGCGGTCGTGGGGGTACGTTCATATCGCATTGGGGGTGTCACTCAATTGTCAGGGTTTCCGCCTATACGGCGGCTAGGTTTCACGTAGGCGTTATCGCGTAACCTGTCCGAATTGTGTAATCGTCTAATCAACGCGTGGTGACGAACTAAGCGAATGTTTCACTTGGTTGCGTTCAAGGCATAGAGGGTCCAAAACACCGATGCTCCTACACAATTTTATACACTAACAGATAGTTTGCTTCGTCTACTGCAGAATTACAACCCAACTACTCGAGGGCCCCGTAACCACACTCAAACTCGAGCTGTGTCAAAAACCAGGACAAATATATTCCCCGTTTCAAAGCTGAATTTAGGGAGCACGCTGTGTGGTTGGGTTGCGACTCGCAACCTCTATTGAGACCTCGGCTCACTTTGAGGTAAACCTCGGTCATTCCGATCTCGAGGACTGTATCCTGAATGGATATATTTCGGTGTTGCTCTTCCCAACACTGACACACCACGACCGCGGTTTCGTCTTGGTTTAGACTCGTCAGGTGGAGATAGCCTGAGCTGGGGTGGAACTCAGAGCATAGTAGTTCATGGCTGACTCCCTGAACACTATGGTACTGAGATCCGCGAGCAATGCTTGCCACAGCGGAAAGTAATTCAAAGCTGAATTTAGGGGGCACGCTGTATGGTTTCTTCTCAGCTAGATATGCCTTACTGTGGAATAGGCTGTCAATCACACTCAGGTCTTTCAAGAATTCGGCACCGTTTCTCACTAGACTGATAAATTAGCCCGCACTGAACACTAGCATGGCGATGTCGTTTCGTTAACCATTTCAAGTGGGATCTGGAGTATCAGTTGATTGGACGCAGATACTAATCACGAAACACAAAGTAACTATTCGTATCGCTGAAAGGTTCTATCAGCATACGCCAGACTGTAGCCTATTCATAAGGAAGTTGCATTTCCTTATCCATGCATACCCTTGGAATCACAAACGCGTTGCAACTCGTCATGTGTTATTGTCAAACAAACCTGTTGAGGAAACACAATGCGTTTTCAACCTCGAGCTTCAACTTGGTAAGATTTCATTAAACTGCAGCTTGGTGAATCACGTGCTGTACGAGGGACGTGTGTGGACACAAATACTCTGCAAGTGTGGAAAATCATCTGTACCATTTATGGGCATATTTTCTCGCATGTTCTAAAAGTGTGCCCGTTCTTATTACGTGGTTATGCAATATCCTCACGACATGTTTCCCTGAGTAACCTCACTTTTATGAGGCAATTTTAGCCTTGCCGCATCAATAGACGCGTGACTGAGTATACAGGTTTCCAGGTGACGGGAACTTGTCTATTACATCAGAACTGAAATATTTTGGGGACAGCACTTACTGGCGACAACCTTTTGTTGAGGCTTTCGTCTGTAGTATGCGACGTGCTTCCGACAAAGCACCATTACCGGATCCACATGCATGCTTGAAAGTATCATGCACGCACTACTGATTCTCATCTGAGTACAATAGCGATTCTTTGTGATCTGTCTTGAGACGAGACAGATCAGGTTCACCCACCTCCCCTATCTGTGGAGATAGCCACTCATTTTTACCCTGGTCACTTTAGCTACTATCTGTCTTCTACGACTTCCGATCTACCGGCAAGTATTTATTGAACAGTGTAACGCAATTTTTCCACGTGTCCTTTAAGCCTAATCGGAACCTCGTTTTAGACGAAAGGCGTCTTTGTCCGTTCGGAAGCCCGAATTTGGCAGCCAGTTACGTCTTCTCTAAGATATATCACAAGCCCATGGGAGCGATTGAAGTATCTTAGTTTCATTTGCACCACATTTCTTCTTCACTCTTTAGTTTCCTGGGAATCCTCACCTGGATTACGCCTCTCCGCCAGGGCTTTTGGGGTACAAATGTCTGTGTTCATTCCTCACACATTGTGCTGAGCTTAGAGAGGAGATTCTCAACTACGGGCGGGCCGATTTACAGGTTCCTATCAATCGGTCTATTTTGCCTCGCTCAACTTGGTCGCATTCGCCCCCCTCGAGGTCACTCATCATGAAGCGGTCGAGCGGACGTAGCCAGAGTGATCGGGATGACAGCCCTTGCGGTGTTCCTCCGCCTTTCAACTGCATTCCTATGGCCTTTGGCTTAGACAATCAACCCAAAGCATCTAACACAACTCTCTTGAGCACTCCAACAGAGCCTTTTTACCAGGCATCTGGCACAGAGACCACTGACGATCGCCCGATGTTCCCCCTTGTTGAGTCAGCGAATGCCTTAACGCTGGCGCTGTCCGATGCACTCGATGTTGGCGGTGGTGAGTTAGCCTTTTCCCTGTGTGTTCCTTACAGCTTGACTACTTGACTAGCCATTTGACCAACATGATCCACTACGGATGTTTGTATAGTGTTCTCGGTCCCCCTGTCGACTTTGCTCACTGGACGAAATTCCCTTCCCTAGCGGCTTCATGCTCACCTGCATCAGATGCTCGTCACGAAGATCTAAAAGCCTCGCTTTTAGTATTGTACTTGTCAACCAGCCTTCTCAACACACTTTCAACACACCTTCATATTCTGCCGTTTGCAGCCACCAATTTGGATCCCTTATCTCCGAGTTCCCTTGGTCATTGCCACGGTCGATTTTATCCAATGCTCTTCCAACCTCGGACCAATGACTTGACTCCTTTCGAAGAGTTGTTCGCGTGCGCATTTCCTGTACTTTTTTACTCGTGGACCCATTTGAACGCATGTGCTGATGATCTGGAAATGGTGAGTTATGTGGATACACTTACGGCTCTGCCATCCCAACATGCTGTATTTTCACGGGGACTTGCTATTTTGACTACCATGTTGATTCTAGGCCTTCACTTGTCTGTCACAAGCACTGTATGACTCTTAAGTAGGTTATTTGGTTAGACGGGTCGTATTCGAGAACTCTAGTGGGCCATTGACGAAAAGCCTCTAAATTGTTATTGGCTTCTACAACTACGGACTTACGAGTCACAAGCTCGTACTCTATTTAAAGCCTGACATTTACTACATAGTAAGGTGCCGTTCTACCAAAACCCATTTGCATTTGGCCATGGTTGCATCTGTACCATACTATGCTGTTGAATCAAGTAGCGTTAAGTAATTTCCAAAACTGGATTTCTTCCCCACCAATTTGTAAGTCAGACCGTTGAGTCAAAGGCCACTGATGGGTTCCTATAACAATCCTCAACTTGTTACGTTGCTTTGTGGGTCACTCTAGTTAGCCGAAGACCAGCAATTGCCATTATGGTGGTAGCTGGCAGTTTAAGCGAGAGAAACCAACGCACGGCCAGTTGACTGGAAACCCGATCAGCGCCGCCAGAGCAAATTGACTACGCTCACCACAGGCCGGCATTGATCTGCAATGTTGGGAGTCAAGCACAGTTTTGGTCCCAGGCCATGGCAAGCGAGTTGCCCGCGCGCGACGCTAACCCTGAGCGGACGACGCGTGGGACGATAGCAGCTGATTGATACAGCGAGCGGAACAGATGGAGCCGGCAAGTGAAAGTCCAATCAGCGCTGCCGACACAATCCGATCACAGTTACGCGGACTGGATGAACAGCCCATAGTTGGGTTGAGGTATCGTGAAAAAGGCGCAACTTTATTCGAGTCAAAATCGGCGTGGTCCAACCGGCTGCGAACGCACGATGAGCGCGAGCCAATGAACTCAGCCAGATGGTTTGGTAGTGATGACGCGTCTCAATATTCAGCATTTCGGTATTGAGGCTTCGTTAAATCTAGCATATGGCCCGGACCTTGTTCCTACTGGCTACCACCAGTTCCGATCGCTGCACAATCACATCCAGGACAAGAAATTCCATGACCGCAACCGCATCGAAACCTATTTTGCCTAAAACTTTGGCAGCCAGCGTAGCTCGTTCTATGATTAGCATTGGTAGCTTGCTTGAACGTTGGCATTACGTGATCGATCACAATGGACGTTACATTGACTAGATATGTTTGCTTGTTTGAAATAGCTATTAGAGATAGTTCATCACGGTCCACTCTCAGTCAGCAGGCTTTGGCTAGCCTGGAATAGCACCAGACACCGGTGTTTTGACCTTCTGAGTCTCGTCAGTTGTGCGCCTTTCAGTGAACCCCTGCTACGTTCTGGCTCCATGACTTCCGGATGTCAGCGGCTAGTGCCACTTTGCCAAGGGTGACAGCCGCGGACCTGCATGATTGACAGTTGACTGTGATATAGCCCAACTCCTCTTCTACTGCCATGCCAGTTACAAGCTGTGTTTGGTACAGCAGTTAGCTCCTGCCTGCTGACTGAGAGTGGACCGTGAGGAATTATCTCTAATCATAACAGATCCCCCACTACTCTATAGTAATTTGAAATAAATATTGTCTGAGAATAGATACCAAAATGTCGATTGATTTCGGGACAACTCAATACATCAACAACATGTGTACTGAATTCAGCGCGTTCATCACGAATCGTCTGTCGCCTATTCATGATGGGTCGACACCGAATCAATGGAGGTAAGTTAAATTCGTGTATAACCCAGCTGACGAGTTGTCACGTAGCGTGTTGCCGTGCTATCGCTCCAACAACTGCTTCGCCTGGCCCTCGTTTCTAAAGAGTTTGTTAAGCATACGAGCTATACAACTCCCAGGTAAACCATTTTTAAGAAAACACAGGTGTTAATGACACAAGGCCAGCGAATCACTCGTCGATCGACCCTTAGGAGATTGTGCTCAACGAGAGGCTGACTGTTAATCTATGTTGGGTTCAACAGCAAAGTTCCTCTCAGAACTGAACCGGTTTGAGTAGTGTTACTTGATAGTAATCAGCATCTTCAATATGGCTCGACAAAAGAAGAGCATGACGCTAATCTCCACCGTTTCTTACAGCGTTGTGTGCAAATGAACATCAAGCTCAGACGTGAAAAATTGAACTTCGAAAGACTAGGTGATTTTCCATGGGTATTTACTACAGAACAAGGGTTCAGGGTCGATCCAGGAAAAATGAAGGCAATTCGAGAGATGCCACCTCCTAATGGCGTGAAGGGAATCCATCGCTTAAACGGTATAGTGAATTACTTGAGTCGTTTTATGCCAAGACTCGCTGATATCATGACGCCGATCAGAAAGTTAACTCACAAAGGAGTAAAGTGGAGTTGGGTGAAAGAACAGGAAACCGCATTCGAAACTATTAAGCACCTCACCAGCAACGCGGCTGTACTCGGGTATTACGATCCAGAGCAACCTTTGGAGGTAGAGTGTAACAGTAGCTAAGACGGAATAGGTGCTGTTCTCTTACAGAATGGAGAACCTTTTTATTTCCGCAGTCGAGCACTCACCGTGACCGAGCAGCGCTATGCGCAGCTTGCGAAGGAGATGCTATCGGTAGTCTATGCCATGGAGCTTTTCAACGATTATACTTGCGGAAGAAAGACAACGTTGTATACCGACCGTAAACCGCTTTTGTCAATAGCCAGGAAACCGCTGCACGTCGTTCCTCGTCGCCTTCAGCGTATGCTTATCCGGCTTCAAAAGTACGACGTGGATATTGTGTATACGCCTGGTGCACAGATGTTCATCGCGGATATACTGTCACGAGCTCATCTGCCCATACCCGAGTCTAATCCGGAAGAGGTCGAAGCAGTAAACTTAGTACAGCACCTGGCAGTGATAGAAGGTCGCCTAAAGGAAATAAGGCGCCACACAGAGGAAGATGCAACGCTTTCAGCTTTTATAGACGTTATTCTAAATGGGTGGCCAGAGACAAAGAAGCACCTGCCGAAGGAATTAACACCCTACTTCTCTCTCTGTCTATGCTGGTTTGCTGTTCTGGGGGAGCCGTGTTCTGCTTCGGTCATCGCTCCGAGGAGAAATGTTAAAATACGTTCATCGCGCTCACCTTGGTGCCAATTATACCATTAACCGAGCAAGAGAATTGATCTTTTGGCTAGGAATGACGGGTCAATTAAGTGATCATGTATCGAATTGTGAGGCGTGCTGTTCACACGAAATCCGGCAGACGAGGGAACCAACGATGCTGCATGATGTCCCTGACCGACCGTGGCAGAAGGTGGCGGTGGACTTATTCAGTGATAACGGGAAAGATTACTTACTCACAGTGGATTACTTTAGGGATTAGTTTGAAATCGATCTACTCACCACTACGACCACAGAGGCAGTGATCAACAAGCTCAGATGTCAATTCGCGCGGCACGGTATACCGGAGGAGCTGGTCTCCGCCAAGGGGCCTCAGTTTACCAGCGGTGCGTTCCCGATTTTCGCAATAAAGTGAGAATTCGTGCACCAGCAAACCAGCCCATGTCACAGTCAATCGAATGGAAAAGCGGAGTCGGCAGTGAAGCAGGCGAAGCGATTGTTATCGAAGGCTAGAGGAACTGGCGAGGACCCGTACCTCATGTTACTAAAGGATCGCAACACTCCTTCAACGGATATCGCTTTGAGTCCAGTGCAGCGCCTATACAGCCGAAGGACTAGAACTCTGATGCCGGCATCTGCCACACTTTTGCGCCCAGTTTCGCCACAGCACGAACGATTACAGAACAATTTGTGACGACGAATGACCACTCAGAAACGGTACTATGACCGCGGTGCACGGGTACTACCTGAGCTAACAGTGGGGGAGGAAGTGTGGGTTCAACCAGTACCGGATGGTCAAGAGCGGTGGAAGTAAGGGGTGGTGACTACGAAGATCGGTGAAAGGGCATACAAACTAAACATTGGAGGGAAAACGTTCAGAAGAAATCGAGTGCATTTGAGACGATACCGGAGACAACAATGTGGATTGGGAGTGGAGTGGCAGATGGCGTGGAGCAAGGAGATCACGGCCGCAGATACAGCGAAGACGACGCGGAGTGGCAAGGTGGACGGGATGGATAGCAATATGGAGGCGCAAGAACACGAAAAAATGGAGGATGTGATGATAGTATCAGATCAGAGTGCGCATCTGGATCAACCGAGCGAGCCAGACAGCTAGTGGGAGGCGGAGGTGACGGATTCGATTACTGGACTCGGATTGGCCGATATTCGTGTGAATGGTTCACCGTTTGTTTGACTGAAGCAAAGGAGGAACCTCATCGACTCAGAAGGGTCGTAAGTTATGGACTTGAACCTGCAATGTATATTGAGGTGTTTGGCTTAGTAAACATGCTGTAATTTTCGCTGAGCTGTCTTTGCCGAATAAACGCTTGTCCCTGAAGGACTGAGTTATGCAACAACGGTGACACCCGATCAGTTCAAATGCCTCAAATTTGTTTGCAGTCTTTAGTCGCATGTCAGTGTGCACACACGCATCCTTCACAACTTAGAACAGCAATCCCATTTGACGCTACATGAGGTTACGTCTGAATGTCAGAGACTGAGTAACTTGAAACATGATGCCAAAATGATTGAAAACGCTAACTCCAGGAGTGAACCGCAAATTTACCGCACGGCTGTACGGGGGTGAGCCATAGAGTACCCAACCAGAACCCCCCGACTGCATGTTGTAATTGTGTTGGATGGCATTTCGTGTGATTTTGTACTTACAAGAAGTATCATTGTCAAAAATGCAAGCGCTTGGATCACAATGAATCACACTACCGCACAACTTGATTGGCGGCATCAGGTTTCGAATCGTCCTGTTACTGTGGCCTCCATAGGACAGCCACAGGACGCCTGCGTCTACAGAGGGACCATGGGTGGCTTGCGCTACACCACCCATGGCTCCATCCACACACCGCATATCCAGTGTAAACCCGAAGGAATACGA